CTAATATGGGAGAAAAGTGAGCTCATTCATAAGCTATGGACAAAGTTAGGAATAGACAACGGAATAAAATAACCACCAACAGACCCACCTTGCCTGTGACATACTGTCGACCTCTTACTTCGTTCTCCTGTGTGAGCTTTTTTTCTTTTGTTTTTGGCTCCCAGATTTTTGAGGGATTATGTTCTCTCTCCCTCCACTCGCTGCCTGTGAAGAATTATCGCTTAGCATCTGTGAAAACTGAGCAGGTGGACTGAACCGTTTTACGTAAACAGAAGGGGGGGGGGGGTGGCTTGAGAAATGTTTTGCAAAACAAATAAACTTAGTGTTACCAATACATTGTATAATAATGTATGTGCAACTGTAAGTTTATTACTGAGTGTGATCATTTTTGTCAGTATAATAATTGTCTTAGGGGCCTCTCCAGGCCCCTGTCAATCATGGGTCCCCAGAATTCTTCTCCTTTTACCCCCCTTTTCGGTGCCCCAGGTTACAGAAGTCAAACTCTGAGCAAGACATTTCATAATGTAGCGCTTTTTGTTATAGTGCACTTTTCCCACCCAGGAGTTTTCCTTTTCCCATTCCTCCCTGTAGTTTTGCAGCCTTTTTTGTTTTTGTTTTTTTCTCGGACAAGCAGTGCTGGTCGAAGGAACAGTGTTGGCATCTGTGTCAATCAATCAATCAATCAATCAAATTTTATTTATATAGCGCCAATTCACAACAGTCGTCATCTCAAGACGCTTTTCAAGGAACAAGAGCAGGTCAGGACCGCGCTCATTGTTTGATGATCAAGAACCAACCTAAGATGGGTTTTGGCCCATCTCAACTAACATGAGTAGCAGTGGCAAGGAAAAACTTCCTTTTAACAGGCAGAAACCTTGGGCAGGACCAGACTCATGCTAGACAGCCACCATGCCGCTGCTGGGTTGGGGTGGAATGTAGAGAGAAGAGGGGAGAGGAGGAGAGGACAGGGGAAGGGAGAGAGACAGCAAGATAGGGGAAAGGCGAGAGAGAATTAGTACGGAGAGGGAGGGGGAGGGAGAGAGAGTAGGGAACGAGGGTGAGAGAGAGACAGGAGGCAGCAGGAACAACAGCAACAACGACAACAGCTCATGTAATGGTGAAACAAAAGACGTTCAGTTTACAGGTTTAGGATATGAGTGATAATGGACAATGTTGAATTAATTGAGTGTGATTACAGTTAGCAGGCTTAATCGTAGTCAGTTCTATTTTGTATGTCAATAATGACAGTGAGGCTGATGTTCATGTCTGCAGTAACAGTAACAGCAACAGTCCAGAGGAATCAGAGAGAAGAAGGAGCTCAGGGCCGGGGGGGGGGGGGGTCTCTGCAGCAACGGTCCAGAGGAGCCAAAGAGATGGAGGAGCTCAGGGCCCAGGATGGATGCAGCTGGGGTCAGGCAGTTCCGCAGCAGACCGTTTGCAGCATTAGTCCAGTGGCAGCTAAAAGACTCAGAGACACTCAGAGAGACAGAAAACTGGTCAGTGACTTATATGGGACATAAAGATCTAAAGAGGAGATAGAGACAGACTCTAGCTCAGTGTGCCAGATAGCCCCGGCAGTCTAGGCCTATAGCAGCATAACTAAGAGCTGGTTCAAATCAGCCCTGACTATAGGCTTTATCAAAGAGGAACGTTTTAAGTCTACTCTTGAAAGTTGAGAGTGTGTCTGCCCCCCGAACCTCGAGCGGTAAATGATTCCAGAGGAGAGGTGCCTGGTAGCTGAAAGCTCTTCCTCCAACACTACTTTTAGAGACATTTGGTACAACGAGCAGACCTGCAGACTGTGAGCTGGTCGAAGGAACAGTGTTGGCATCTGTGTCCATGTTGCTTTGTTTTAGTGATCTCTTGTCTTCTGGTATCCTCTTCACAAGCAACCATACCTTGACCAATAAGATAAACAGGATTCTGTGCTGTTATCCTCCTGTTTGGGTGTGCTGTCAGCTCATTGGTCACACAGCTGGGAATAGGTGCCGTAAGTTTTTATAAAAGCGCCCTGTTGTTCATTAATTCCAATGACATTTTACAGAATATTTTTGATTGTCATGGTAATACGGGACAAAGTGCATCCCTTTGCAGCTCATTATGGGGCGCACACTTTTGTTCTTCAATGAGCTGTGTCACCCTGCTGCAGTCGGTGATGGACTCATCTGAGGTCTCGCTACAAATAAGTGAGGGGGATGTAAGGGCTAAGGGGAGTAGGAAAACATGAGACAAACAAGTTACCAAGAACACAGACAGATCAGACGCTGGAGGGCAATGCAGGACTGACAATGTATAAATTTGTCTTGTTTATGGCATACGTGATCAATTGTGCAGATCAGGTGAAACAAAAGACAGAAAAAATCAAGATCATTGTGAGAGCAGCTGAGAAGTATTTGGGTGTCGAAGATGTGACTTGGGAGCAGGTCAATAAAAAAATTGAAGAGGATGGAAGGCAGGGAGTAGCAGAAGGTAGGACAGCCTTATTATATTGCAGTGGAATGCAACAATCTCTTAGCAAATGGTCAAGAATTAAAAGGATTCATTACAAGTCAGAAACATAAACCAGATGTTATGTGTATTCAAGAAAGCTGGCTTAGGCCTGAATTAGATTTTGTTATTCATGATTATGATAATATTCACAGAAATAAAAAGGAGGGCAGTGGGGGAGAAGTTGCAATATTTATAAAGCAAGGAATTCAGTATACAGTATTAGCAAAAAGAGTAGAGTTATAGTTTATTATAGCAGAGATCTGGACTAGCAAAGGGAAACTAAAAGTTGCTAACTTTTACAACCCATGCAAAAGGCTAACACTGCAGCTAATAGATGAAATTGGAATCCACTTTGGAGGGGATGTGATATTGTGTGGATATTTTAGTGCATATAGCTCATTATGGGGTCATTGTAATTATGAAAATGGATCAGTGATGGAGGAGTTGATGGAAATTAAGAATATGGTGTATTTGAATAATGGTCGTGGTACAAGAATTAATATTAACAATGGTACAGAGTCAGCAATAGACCTTACAATAGTGTCAGATTCAATTGCTGGGTCGTGAACATCAGAGGTAATTATTGCAACCACCACAGGAAGTGATCACTATCCTATTGTGACTGAAGTGGGAATAAGAAAAGAGGATTGTGACTGAAGTGGTTTTTGAGAAGTGGGCATTTGGTAGTGCTGGCTGGGTGAAATTTAGATGTTTTAGTGATCAAGGCATTGGAAGAATGAATATAAATGAAGATGTTGATATTTTGAATACAAAACCCAATTCCATTGAAGTTGGGAAATTGTGATAAATGTAAATAAAAACAGAAAACAATGATTTGCATATCCTTTTCAACCTATATTCAATTGAATACACCACAAAGACAAGATATTTAAAGTTCAAACTCATAAACTTATTTTTTTTTTTGTTGCAAACAATTAACTCAGAATTTCATGGTTGCGTGCCAAAATAGTTGGGACAGGGGCATGTTTACCACTGTGTTACATCACCTTTCCTTTTAACAACACTCAATAAATGTCTGGGAACTGAGGAGACTAATTGTTAAAGCTTTGAAGGTGGAATTCTTTCCCATTCTTGCTTGATGTACAGCTTAAGTTGCTCAATAGTCCGGGGTCTCCGTTGTCGTGTTTTACGCAACATATTGCTGGGATGGCAGCATATGTTGCTCCAAAACCTGTATGTACCTTTTAGCATTAATGTTGCCTTCACAGATGTATAATTTACCCATGCCTTGGGCACTAATGCACCCCCATACCATCACAGATGCTGGCTTTTGAACTTTGCGTCGATAATAGTCTGGATGGTTCTTTTCCTCTTTGGCCTGGAGGACACAACGGCCACTATTTCCAAAAACAATTTGAAATGTGGACTCGTCAGACCACAGAACACTTTCCCAATTTGCATCAGTCCATCTTGGATGAGCTCAGGCCCAAAGAACCGGCGTCGTTTCTGGATGTTGTTGATAAATGGGTTTGCTTTGCATCGTAGAGTTTTAACTTGCACTTACAGATGTAGCGATGAACTGTATTTACTGACAGTGGTTTTCTGAAATGTTCCTGAGCCCATGTGGTGATATCCTTTACACATTGATGTCGGTTTTTGATACAGTGCCGCATGAGGGATCAAAAATCATGGGCATTCAATGTTGGTTTCCGGCCATGCCGCTTACGTGCAGTGATTTCTCCAGATTATCTAATAATAATAATAATAATAATACTAATACATTTTATTTGTAAAGCGCTTTTCACAAACTCAAAGACGCTGTACATGAATAAAAACATACATCAGTATACAATAAAATACATCAATATCAAATTAAATCAAGTAAAATCTGGTAAAATCAACAATCAACAAGGGAGGGGGGGGCTAAGGGGGATGAAAAGCAGTGCGGAAAAGGTGGGTTTTGAGCTGGGTCTTGAATCTGGTAAGGTTGGTGCAGTTTCTGAGGTCCAGTGAGAGTGAGTTCCAGAGGGTGGGGGCGGCGACTGAGTATGCTGTGTCCCCTCAGGTTCGGTGCTTGGTCGAGGGAACTGTGAGGAGGTTGGCGTCGGCGGAGCGGAGGGTGCGGGGGGGGGGGGGGGGGGGGTGGAGAAGATCTTGCAGGTGGGGGGGGCCTGGTTGTGGAGTGCTTTGTGGGTGAGAAGGAGGATTTTGTACTGAATGCGATGGGGGATGGGGAGCCAGTGAAGGTTCTGGAGGACGGGGGTGATGTGTTGGTTGGAGCGTGTATGGGTGACGAGGCGGGCGGCAGAGTTCTGGATGAGCTGAAGTTTATTGAGGAGAGTGGAGGTAGTGCCGTGGAGGAGACTGTTACAATAGTCTAGACGGGATGAGATGAATGCATGTATGAGGGTTTCAGCTGCAGAGTAGGAGAGGGAGGGGCGGAGACGGGCAATGTTTTTGAGGTGGTAGTAGGCTGTTTTGGTGATTTGCTTTACATGCTGTGTGAAGGAGAGGTTGCTGTCAAAGAGAATACCAAGGTTGCGACAGTGGGGGGAGAGGGTGGAGTTGTTAATAGAGAGATGAAAGTCTGTGACTGTGGAGGTGAGGGATTTTGGGCCGATGATGAGGAGATCTGTTTTGTTGTAGTTGAGCTTTAGAAGGTTGCTGTCCATCCAGTGTTTGACATCAGTGAGGCAGTTTGAGAGGGAGCGTTGGGTCTGGGGGGTGATGGAGGTGGAAGAGATGTACAATTGAATGTCATCAGCATAGCAGTGGAAATGGAGATTGTGTTGACTGAGGATGTGGCCAAGAGGGAGGAGGTAGATGATGAAGAGGAGACGACCAAGCACCGAACCCTGGGGGACACCTTGGGACACGGGGGCAGTTGTGGAGGAGCAGTTGTTGATGTGGATGAAGTGATTCCGGTCTGTGAGATATGATTGGATCCAGTTGAGAGCAGTGTCTGTGATATTGAGGAGGGAGTGTAGGCGGGACAGGAGGATGGTGTGGTCAATGGTGTCAAATGCGGCGGAGAGGTCAAGGAGGATGAGGATGGAGGGTTGGCCGGAGTCAGCAGGTCGTTTGTGACTTTGATGAGAGCAGTTTCGGTGCTGTGGTGGGTGCGGAATCCTGATTGAAACAGTTCGTAAAGATTGTTATTGTTGAGGTGGGCTTTGATTTGTGATGCAATGACACGTTCAATGATTTTCGACAGGAAAGGGAGGTTGGAGATGGGCTGGAAGTTGTTGATATCGTCAGGGTTGAGTCCAGGTTTCTTGAGGATGGGGGTGACAGCGGCCAGTTTGAGTGAAGGGGGAACACTGGCAGAGTTGAGGGAGGAGTTGATGATCTGTGTAATGATGGGAGAGATGACGGGGAGGCAGTGCTTGATGAGGGAGGATGGGATGGGATCCAGGATGCAGGTGGATGATGACATGGACTAGATGATGTTGGTCATGTCGTTTGGAGAAACAGATGAGAAACGGGAGAGTGCTGATGGGATGAGGGGAGGAGCTGGGGATGGAGGGTGGGGGAAGGGAGTTGTAGATTGTGTTGATTTTGGTTTGAAAAGGAGAGGAATGAGTTGCACTTTTCCGGGGTGAAGGTTCCGGGCTGTACCCGAAGCAGAGCTGATGGCCGGGCTGCGAGGACTTGGCGGTGCGCTGGACGCCTGCGGCAGCGGGGATGGTCTGCCATTTCGGTCCGGGGCGGTCGTGGCAGGCCCGGCGGAGTTCCGTCGGACTGCCTCTCGGAGAAACCTCCTGCGGGTGGCCGAGGACGCTGTCTGGCTCTCAGTGTGGTGGTCCAGGCGGTTCCCGGGACGATGCGTGCAACCAGGCACCGACGGAGAGGGGTCCCTTCCGCCAGTGCCAGGCCACACGGGAATCCCTCTGCATGCCGGCAGGGAGCTGTTCTTCGCACCAGCGCCCGGTGACGCCTGGGAGCTGGTCGCCAGAAGATTGTCGGGCCGGCACGCCATGCAGACATCGGTGGACGAGGACAAAGGTCCGGGGGCTCCACCGGGTGGCCGTGTAGGAGCCAGGGGAGCTCCGGCAGCTGCTGTGGAGGACGCCACCATGTCACTGCGGAGAGGGGACTGGTTCGGGCTGGTGCTGTCGGGCTTAGGAGGATGCACAAGGGCCTCGAAGTGGTCAGAGACAGCCAACCGGACTGTAGATGCATAGTTGGAGGGATTTGTCCTTCTGCCGGCGAGGATCTCGGACCGGAGCAGTGAATTGCTCGGCGTGGAGCTTGAGGTAGGCCCGGCCGGGTTCCAGGGGATGGTGTTGTTGGTTTTCCTACTTCGAGTGATCACTTCAGTCCAGGTTGAGTCCTGGTTGGGTGCTGTGGTGGATGGCGGTCGGGTTGAGGTCCTTGGGCTGTGAGGCTCCAAGAGTAGCGTGTCCTGGAGGGTTGCTTGGAGGGAGAACAGGTGGAGGGATTGCTAGTGGGCCACATTCATACAAGTTGTGAGTAGTGTAGATTTTGATTTAAGCTCCTCGGACAGTTTTTGGATACAGAGTTTGAGTGTGGTAATTGTTTGATTTGCCTCGTGAAGTGCTTTGGTCTTCGCTAGGAGTAGGGACTCGCTCATGCTTGCTCTCTCGCTCATGCTCTCTGAACCTTTTGATGATATTATGGACCGTAGATGTTGAAATCCCTAAATTCTTTGCAATTGTACTTTGAGAAACATTGTTCTTAAACTGTTCAACTATTTGCTCATGCAATTGTTCACAAAGTGGTGAACCTCGCCCCATCCTTGCTTGTGAATGACTGAGAACTTTTGGAGAAGCTGCTTTTATACCCAATCACTGCACCCACCTGTTCCCAATTAGCCTGCTCACCTGTGGGATGTTTCAAATAGGTGTTTGATGAGCATTACTCAAATTTCTCAGTATTTTTTGCCACCTTTCCCAACTTCCTTGTCACATGTTGCTACCATCAAATTCTAAAGTTAATTATTATTTGCAAAAAACAATAAGTTCATCAGTTTGAACGTTAAACATGTCGTCTTTGTAGTGTATTCATTTGAATATGGGTTTAAAAGGATTTGCAAATCATTGTATTCCATTTTTATTTACGATTTACACATCTTCCCAACTTCATTGGTCCTTCTGCCGGCGAGGATCTCGGAGGTGAGTACAAGAAAAAGACTGTGCCATGGTGGACAAAGGAATGTTGTGTAACAATTCAAACCAGAAATAGGGCTTTTAAGATTGTAGTGATTTGAAATGAGCCTCACAAGGTCGTACCAAAATAGTACTGTAGCGATTGGGATTTATAATAAATGTCTGAAGATTAATAATCTCAAATTATGACATTTATGCACTCGTTGAAAGGGGCACCACCCACCCTTAATGGTGGGAAAATAAAGAAAACAAAAGTTTAATTCAGAAATCAAACATCAAGTCAGTTTTAATTAATCAGTCTTAATTAATCAGTCTTAATTAATCAGTCTCATATCTTAAGTCGAAATTCTAATTTCAGGGACTCCACTTCTGGAAGAATACTAACAGACAGGAACTTAGAAAAATAATGATCTGTTTATTACAGGATAAATGATGGTACAACACACATGCAATAAATGATGATAAGATAATGAAGATAAATAATAATAGGTGAATAAATAAAGATTCTGAGTCAGGCTAGGAGCACTAAAGTTAATGATAGTGAGTGAATATGCGCTAACATATTAACCTACACTAACTTTGGTGTCGAGATAAACTCGGATGTGGATTTGGAGGAATCTAAGATCACCAGAAATAGGTGGATATCTGAGTTATGAACGTCTGAGACAGCATCAGCCCTCTTTGGAGCTCTGGAGGTTTGCATACTTAAGTGAGACTGGTCCTTGGAGAAGATGGAGCAGTTTCCGAAGGTCCGGGCTACTGGCAGTTCGAGTGGTTCAGCTCAGAAGACGACTGAAGTCAGCCGAAGGATGAGCCAGGAGTTGCAGTTACTCGGGCCCGAAGCAAAGCCAGCGCCTGTGGATCCTGTCGATGCTCGTTTGGGTACTTCTTTGGTCTCACTCAAAAACTCTGGCACAGAGGATGACCTGGGCCTGCTGGGTTGCGTTCAGAGGTGACTTTGAAATCACGCAGATAACTCAGAAAAACGAGACTCAAGCAGAGAAAACTTTCAAAAATGGCTTCGCGAAATTAAAGAAAAATCAATCAAAGGCTTAATCTTGAATTGCTTTGCGCACAAAAAGTTGAAGTTTCAAAACTTGAACTAAGACGATGTTGAAGAAAAATCAACGTGAATCAACACGTGGCGTAAAACTTAGAAGACTAAGGAAAAGTTCTAAGAGAGAACAAAGAAAAGGAGGACCACAGAAGGGTGTGGACAGAAGAGAAGGGCCCAAGAGTAAGGGGCCTAAGAGAGACAAGAGAGTCAGCACACAAGAGAGTGAGCAACCCGACTTCACTGGTTTTATCTTCTCACACTGGGAGTGGCTCCGGCGTGTGTGTGAGGAGACAGAGGAGGGTTGTGTGGTCTCCAAGCAGAGGAGACCTCGGATCTCTGATTATTTGATCTAACTTATACTTTTGGCTGGTAAAAGAGTCAGATCTGATACTCACTCACTATGATTAATATCATCGAATGCTAGGTTTCATGATAAATAATTTGATACTAAACACATATGAATGAAGTGGAGGATCACATCAAACATTCTCATTATGTTTTAAGTATCACATTGAACATGCTAAATTACTCTGAAATGAAACAGATAGTAACACATGAAAACTGTGAACAACAAAAGAGTAAACACATGTGAATGAACTTCATCATGATTAATAATGGATTCTAAATACTCACATTCAGGTTATTCAATGACATTATAACCACCTAATGGTTAAAAATACTAAATAAACGATTAAAATATAGAACAAACATTTCTAAACCATTTCTGTTAATTAGAGCTAAGTTATGAGTCACAATCAATAAATTTAACTTTTAAAAGTTCATGAAACAGTCTGAAAAGCTGTTGGTCTAAAGATATCCGGAGTGATAATTTGGCTTCTGGAGCACATAGAAAAACGGGAAACATCTCATTTTAACACAAATTTCATGATTAGACAGATTAGTACATTGCTGAATGCATAAGATGTCAGGATCAGTCATTTGTATTCTTTCACCAAAGGAATGTAGTCTTTATCAGTGTATGGTCGAGCAGGGTTTTACGACCGAGGTCTGGAGGTCAGTGTCCCCCCATATCCTGGGGTCCGTATGTTCACACACTTTAAGACGCTAAATCTCAAATGGGAGATCTGGGTTGAGACGTTAATGTTTATTTAGATGGTCAGTGATGGAGTCAGTTTAAAAGGTAATAAAAACTCTGTCTCTGTTCTCCGAATTGACCAATCGTGAAGAGTCAGAAGTTTGGTCAACCTCCGGTTGGGTCACTTAGGCAACCTGAAAGTGTAAACAAGTCTGGTAAGATTTATATCCTGTGTCCTGGGACCAGATAAGGAAACTTTCTGTGAGGAATGTGTGAGTTTCACACCCAGGGTTGTCTTGATTGCTACAAGATGTTAATGAGAGATTACAGTTTACAGAATGTCATCACATATAAAAGGCTGCAAGCAAGTGTAAAGAGAGCTATGAAGAGTGCAAAAAGAGAGTTTTTGTCACTCAGCTGGAAAGGAGACAGAATTTGATAAAGTGAAACTTATCTGTAATTTAGGTAAGAAAGACAGACATCACTGAACAGTAATTGATGAATTGTCCTGTTTAAAGACCATATGTTCATGGAGTAAAAGTCACTGAAACACTGAATGAGGCCTTCTTATA